CGCCGGCTTGCCGATGCCGCACGCGTTCGCGCCGAGCGCGAGCGCCTTGACGACGTCGCTCCCGCGGCGGATGCCCCCGTCCAGCCAGACCTCGAGCTTCGACCGCAGGCCCGCCTCCGTGAGCATGGAGATGATCTCCGGCAGCGCCTCGATCGACGACCGCGCCGTGTCCATGTTGCGGCCCCCGTGGTTCGACACCAGGATCGCCGCGACGCCGGCCTTGGCCGCGAGCACAGCGTCCTCGCCGCACTGGACGCCCTTGAGCACGATGGGGATGGTCGTGTTCGAGCAGAACCACGCGACGTCCTTCCAGTTGAGCGCCGGGTCGCGGTTCGCGTAGACGCCCGGCTTCCGCGCCTTGGCGCCCTTGGCCGCGCTCTCCTGCTGGGCCTGCTGCTTGAGCAGCATGGCGATCTTGTTGCGCTGGTCGCGCTCGCGCGGGCCCGCGACGGCGCTGTCGACCGTCACGCACACGGCCGTCACGCCCGCGGCCTCGCACGCGCGCAGCTGCTCGAGGACGACGTCGCGGTCCGGGTTCACGTAGATCTGGAACATGCGGTGGCCCGTCGGGCTCGCCTGCTGGGCGGCGAAGATCGCGCTCCGGCTCTTGCTGCTCAGGTTCGGCGACATGAACGGGATGTCCAAGCCCGCCGCGCTCTCCGCCCACGCGAGCTCGCCGTCCTCGTGGCCCATGCCGCACATCGCGCACGCGCTCAGGAACAGCGGCGCGCCGACGGTCGCGCCGAGGATCTTCGACGTGAGATCGACGGTCTTGACGTCGACGAGGACGCGGGGCCGCATCCAGATGCGCTTGAACGCCAGCTCGTTCTCCTGGTACGTGAGCTCGTCGCACGCGCCGCTGCTGTAGTAGTCCCAGGCCTGCTTCTTGCCCTCCTTGACGAGCTTGCGCTCGGCGATGGCGACGAGGTCGTGCACGTTCAGGATCGCTTCCACGGGCGGCACCTCCCACTCCTCCTCGCCCAGGATCTTCGCGATGTGGGGCGGCGGCATCGTGTACGGCGACGGCGCCTGCTTCGGCGGCGCGCTGTGGTTGCTCAGGGATCGAATGTCGACGAGGGAAGGCGACAAGAGGTCGAAGCGCGGCGTGCCGCAGAGCTGCATCGTCTGCACCATCTCGCGCTTCAGGATCTCGACGCACTTCGTGATGCCCGCGGCGCCGTAGCAGCTCATGCCGTACATCGCCGGCTTGCCGATGCCGCACGCGTTCGCGCCGAGCGCGAGCGCCTTGACGACGTCACTCCCGCGGCGGATGCCCCCGTCCAGCCAGACCTCGAGCTTCGACCGCAGGCCCGCCTCCGTGAGCATGGAGATGATCTCCGGCAGCGCCTCGATCGACGACCGCGCCGTGTCCATGTTGCGGCCCCCGTGGTTCGACACCAGGATCGCCGCGACGCCGGCCTTGGCGGCCAAGACAGCGTCCTCGCCGCACTGGACGCCCTTGAGCACGATCGGGATCGTCGTGTTCGAGCAGAACCACGCGACGTCCTTCCAGTTGAGCGCCGGATCGCGATTCGCGTAGACGCCCGGCTTCCGCGCCTTGGCGCCCTTGGCCGCGCTCTCCTGCTGGGCCTGCTGCTTGAGCAGCATGGCGA